TACCCGACAAATAGCTACTATCCAAACTCAAATGACGCTACTCTTGAAGAGAGTAAGGCTCTATCTGCTAATTTGAACAATTTTAAACAAATCCCTAGTTCAACCGACGTCCATAAATCTAAAGTGTGACATAATAGACATTATCATCATCAACATGGTGATCAAAAATGCTTTAGATACGATCGTAGGGGTAGGGATCAGGTTCGTGAGCAAGAAAGAGATAATTTTGAAATTTTACTCAATGGAATGCTTTTAAACAAGGAAATCAACTAGTGACGGAGTATATCACACAATTTGAGGAATTCCGAACCAAATGTCATTTCTTTGAAGATGAGACCACGACTTTGAGTAGGTTTAGCCAAGGTCTGATAGATGATCTTAGGCGTAAGCTTTTCCTTCGAGGTGTCACTACTCTTAATCAAACTTACTCTTTAGCTCGAGATTATGAGTTGATTATTAGTACTCCATATGAAAAGCATGGTCATCGTCGTTCACCCATCCCATTCGCTCCACCTCACCATAAGTCTATCATAAAGTCTTCCCCGTCCAACATTCCTCCCATTTAGAAAAATAATTGTAAAGCTCGTGATAGTCCAAAGCCTTCTTCTCCATATAGAAGGCGTATTGACAATCATCCTTACGTTTCATTGGCTCCACTTCCTCCCGTTAAGTCCCTTTTAGGACCTCCCTCGTCTAATATTCTTCCAATTTTTGAAAATAAGGGTAAAATTTTTGAAACTCGGAGGACTTCTCATTTGCTGCGCATCAGCTGCAAGGTCTTTAGTCACATTTCTTCCAAATGTCCTACTCGAACCTTAGTCATGGAAGAACGAAAGAATGCAATAGATGAGCCGTTAGAAGATCTAGTCTATGAACATAAACTTGAAGATTTTGATGACTTGAATGATAGTGAGGACACTTCCTTAGGTGGAATCCCGACCCTTCCCAAGACTTTAGAAACTATACCCCTTGTTTCCGACAACTCTCGATCACATGTTATATGTCATACCCTTGCCCAACTCAAAGAGTTTGATGATTTCACTAGTCACCCTTGGAGTATCCAGTCGCCTGTGTTTAGCACTAAATCGAAATTCTCCATTACTGCCCAACCTCAAACTGATGGTCAAAATGAAATTGCTAACCAAAGTCCTAGCAATTTATTACAGTCTCTAGTCCAGAAAAATATTTGGACTTGATCCCTCCAATTGTTCAAATTACATATACCAATCTTGTGAACTGGTCTTTAGGTCTAAATCCCTTTGAAGTTATTCATGGTTGTGAACTTAGGAAACCTTTAGACTTTATTCCCATGTACCCACATGCTAATGTGTTTATGTCAGTTGAGGTAGTTGTATCACATTTTCATAACTTGCATATTGAGATCAACAAACAATTTGAAGCAAGTAACGCATTATATAAACCTCGAGCTAATTGGCATAGACAACATTTTGAATTTGATATTGGGGATTATGTTATATTGCTAGCTCGTAATGCTGGTTCTTTTAAAATTTCAAAGCATGTTGGTCTAAATGCACATGTCAATGACCTTTTATCACATTATGACCACCACCCTATTTTATTTGTTACGGACTTCGATACTTACAAAGGCTATTTTAACCCGTCTGAGGACCTGTTTCTACCTCCACATGAGAATTCCCACACTGAATCTTTTGCTCTGTCTACTTCAATCCCACCTATCATGGTACACAAAAATAAAATTGATATTATTTTAGATGAACAGATTGTGTTGAACAATGATAGAAAGATTCAGTGCTTTCTTGTTCATTGGATGGATCGACTTGATTCTGACGGTACATGAATTCCCATTCGCCTAGATAATCTTGATCAGTTCATATTTTTGTGGGTAATTTGCAATTGGCGTTGACATCATTCGTGGAGTTTCGGTATTTGGTCATCAAGAAAGATCGTCCCCCGTGGCATGACTTGGAGCCTTTAACATTAGATTCATTGCAACATTTTGATTTATCCACTCAACGGGGTCGAGTTTTTCTCCCACCCCGAAAGAGTTGATGCGGACATCCATTTACTATTTATTTTCTATTTAGACTATTAGTTATATTCTATTTGGATTATTATTTATGTTTCTGTTATTGGGCTTGTATAGTGGGTTTGGCCCAAACCCTTTTCTTTAGAGTTTTTGTTTTGCTATTTATTTCTATTTTGTTACGTATTTGGGACAGTTGATGAATTAAAGAATAGAATACTTGGGTTGTTGCCTATAGCTTCCTCCTTCTCCCCTTTCCCCTAATTTCTACTACTTCTCCGATTTTCTCATCTCATTCTCTCCAGTTTCTCCCCTTCTTGTTTATTCTTTCTCCTTTTAATTCGTCCTGCATCAGCAAGCCTTAAAGGCAAAACTAATAAAATAATTCATAAGAATGAAAATACAAAAATATACTCGTAATAAACCATAAACCATCTTAAAAATCCAAACAAAATCCAAAGTGTAACCCTTACACAAACATAAAATATATGAATTAAGTAGCACTTAGTTAGCCTACTAGTGTTTTTTTTTTTTTTTAAGGCAATCAGGTACACTTTTATTAATCAAAAAAGAATACCAAAGAAGAGTATTATCAATTTAAATAGGAAAGAATCAATAAGAAATTAGGCAACCCTTTTACAGGATTAGAAGCCACGATATTAAACCAAGTATAAAAAGTCAGATAAAATAGTTCTCTCATTTGCTCTGTCGTTCGTATTTGGTCTTCAAACAGCAACTGTTTCTTTGTCTCCACAAACCATACAATGCATCCCAGGATGTGATCACATACAAGCTTGATGTCCTTATCACGAAGTTTTCTCCTTTATGCCTACAACACATCCTCTATACGCCTAGGCAATACCCAATCCATATGTTGAGATGTTAGAATATTGTTCCACAACCAATGAACACTATCACAATGAATGAGCAAGTGGTCAATCATCTCCCCACCCCTCTTACATATATAGCACCACTCAGTTACATGAAAACCTTTTATTCGAAAATTATCTCCTATTAACACTTACCCCATTCAGTCGTCCACAGTAAAAATTCTACCCGTGGAGGCAATTTGCATTTCCACACTATCTTCCAGGGAAATGAACTCTCCACAAATCCCAAAAGGGATCTAAAATAAGTGCGAACTAAAAAAATACCATCCCGTGGCAACCTCCACTTGCTATGATCATCCTCTCTTACCCGAATTTGCACCTCATGCAAGGAAGTCAAGAATAGAGCATAATCATCCAATTCTCAATCCTGTAAACCTCTCCCAAACGTAATATTCCAGCTATAGCTCCCATTTTAAATGTCTAACACATCATTCACCGTAGCAGAAGGCAATTAGTTCTCCTACTAGTAATCCTATAACAAATTATAATTTACATTTAAAAGTATTTAACTTACATGATCCCTACTAGTAGGATCTTCAAGGAATCAACAACATATTATATTCCCCCATCCACCTTGTAGCTATTAGTTTCATATAATTCCTACGTGTCATCATCCTCCTGTAATAGTGCCTTCTTCCCATTTTCCTTCTGCGTAAAGAAGAAAACGAAAAACTCATAAATTTATCCAATACTTGTAACAACCCAAGCCTCTGTACTCAAATCATTATATCAAACATATTGTCTGCTTTGGGAGGGCCTAAACCTATCTTACCCCTTATGATTTTCTATCGCATCCTCCAAGATTCAAACCAAAGATATCTGCCTTATGAGAAACTTAACTCGAATCCGAAGAGACACAATAGAAAGTTGTAAAGAGTAAGATGGACTCAGACTTTTCAAAGCGAACAATATGTATGATATAACAGTTTGGACACAAAGGTTGAGTGGTTACAATATCTAACTTGGATTTTTAGATGTTATAGTTTAACAAACATGATCCTACTTCAATGGTTGCCAATTTGCTAATTGGCAAATGCTAGTAGCTTCTTGTGGGATTGGCAATTTTCATGTCATCAACTGGCAACTTAGCAAGGTGAAATTGTATCTTTCTATGTGAATAGTTGTTATAAAACGCCACACAATCATATCATGGGGATTAGTTGTCTCCATGTATTAATACATACGAATAATGACAAGTGTACACTGCATATGATCAAAAGCTTGAAATTAGAACACATGATAAGAGATCTATAATCTTTGGTAAACATGTCAACACCAATGAGAAAAAGACGATCATTATGTTCAAAGTACTGTCTTCCAAATACCGTTCTATAAAATATATTAATTTATGTTTTACAATATTCCTATCTATAAAATCATACTTGCTTTTTGTTTTTGTATATTAATCTTTCACATCTCAATAAATTACTGCAACTATTAAACATCAAATTTCAATTGCTTTTTAACATAAAATTGATATTTATGTGATATTAACCTAATATTTATAGCAACGTTTGAGGTGCTCTCACAACTCAAATTCTCAAACACCACTACTCTCGTGCACTCGCTTCCACACCTTCCTATAGAATCTACAACCTCGATACGAAGTATCATATGTTTAGAAAAAGAGATGCTGCCCAAGAAGCCAGCATAATACAACAACACATTGCCCCTTCAGAAATTAGGATGGTGAAATACTGGTTTTATACTCAACAATATTCAAGAAATACAGATGTTCACAGAAGACTGGATTCAGTAGCAGTATTTATCCCCTTTCAGCAGGCATTATACAATTTGAGATTCACTGTAAAAGGAGAAGCTTTTGATTTAATTTATTAACTGTGTATGTTTCTGTAGTCAGATGCATCTACCCAATGCCTACCAAAAATTTGTCAAATGTACAGTGTAACAACCTCGCAACATCCTCAAATAATGAGGATCACATTTAGTAATAAATCTTATATTCTGAATTTTATAATTAAAAAATCATGTTATACTCAAAAGAGAAAGTAGGAATGAAAATAGAGAACAAGCAGTGGCAGATTCTTAAACTGATACCATTTGGATTATCAATGATCATAAATAAGGGAAATAAGAGATGGTACCGAAACTTTAAGAATTTGGCATAGTCTCGCCATCTCTCCTTTTATTATGATATGGAGGCTCTTCTGCTCATTGGATGATGTTACTATTTCCTGGGACTTGTCCACGTGGACTCCAGGATCAAAAGAGCTCTGACCAAATATGAAATTTGAGTTGCTTTCTGGATTAACATTGTCAGTTTGATGAGAAGTTGATTCGTCCACAGATTGGGACTGGGTGGTGGATACTGCTGTAGAAGACCCTGCATCACCAGGAGAATTTAACAATGAATAGGCATCTGATATATAAAATCGTTTCCCGTATAACAACATTCCAGTATATACTCGAGCTTAATTTTAAGATACAATACAGACAATCATTAGGTGAAAAGTTAGTTTCTGAACTTATTATTACCTCCTTTACAACCAGCAGCTTGAGTCAGTTGATGCCCTTTGGGTTCAACTTGAATCGATGCTGGATCTACATTTTCATTGACTGCCTTCCTATGTTTTTTTCTAACTTCATCACTACCAGTGTCAGGGTTCCCAGACGATTCATCAAAGAATTGAACTCTTTTCCTATTACGTGGAGTTGACCCACAGGAATACTTCCACTGTGGATTTCTACCCTCCAAAAGCTTTCTCCAGAAAACATGAGCCTCTTCTCCATCTTTCAACTGGAATTTTCCCTCCCCGAGTAGGGGAAGATTTATACTATAACGTCCAACATCCAGTTGAACTTTTGAAATGATACAACCTGAACCATTATATTCAGAGGTTTCAGAAAGTATGGTCAGTAGCTCCTTGGTAGTGTCATTCAAAAGCAATTGCTCTGAGGAAATGTTTAAAGCAGATGTAGGGCTTCTGTCAGCATAATAATCATCCAATTTGCTAAATAAATATGAAGCACCCCACATTAGCAGTGTGTCGCTAGTGGTCCTACTCAAGTTATGCAGATTGTTATCAAGATTAAGAACCTGCGTTGCTAGAAGTAGGGCCTTTTCTTCAACAGTACAGGACGAATATAACCGAAAAACTTTGATCTGCTCTAATTTTGAATTGAAGGATATCTTTTGTAGTGCCCTCAAATCATTTGCTGGATTCCATTCACTATCATATACAATAACAATATTAACTGATGATAGCTTAATGCTTGAAGAACAAGCACGATTTTCTAGTAAGAACACAAATTGCCCATTTTCCTTCTTGTTAAAACGATTCACAGCAGCATGCTTCTTGGATGGGACAACTCTAGCATCAATACGTTCGTAAAAATTTGGACCAAATCTTTGACGCAGAAAATCATCCAATATATCTCCGATTGATGCCCTTCCTACGCCAACAACTGTCTGCTGTGAAAAGTAAAAGCTACCATTAAAAACTCACATAAACCAATAAAAAGAAATGTGCTGGAGTTGTGTATGTGTTACAAGATGTAAATTAGATCAATTACAGGGATTGGTACCTAATTATAGGGATTCCTATTTTAATACCTTCCTAATATAGGCTTCACAATCTATATATGTAAGTATACTTTTCTATGTATGAAATCAAGAGACTATTTTTCTCTCTTAAAATATCATGGTATCAGAGCTTCCAAGAAAAGTCGTCGATTCTTTGGTATTTAGAGTAATTGAGGATTAAATTTTAATCCGGTTACTAACCTTGTTCAGGTCTTGAAGCAGACGGCATTAGCCCTCTGGCCGCCTGCGTTTCTGGCGTGATGAGCGTGAAGCGAACACGCGAGGGTGCTGGTGGTGAGCGTGGAGCGAATACGCGAGGGTGCATGCGAATCCTGTTGTGCTAAATATGTTCAATAGGCGAAACTTGTTGCGCCAAATCTGTTCAGTACCCTGTTCGGCCACCTGGGTTCTTGGGCTACCAACCACTGTTGACGATTTCCATTCCTTGCTACCGGCGACTAAGCCCCAGAATATCACCGATTAATCTATTTGGTGTCTCAATCTTGTGATCTGGATATTGTGGATTGCTGATTGAATTTTTTTGGGGCTGCGTTTGGTTTGTTGGGTTAATTTTGTTGGATTGCTGGAGTTTGGATAGATAGTTTACTGGATAGCAAGTATTATTTGGGCTCTCTCTTACTGGCCTATTAAATAAATTCAATATTGGGCTTGGAATATTTTAAAATCCTTTTAATTCATTTATTGTTGGGTCACTTATCTTGGGTAAAATACTATGCATGTGAGGTTCTGAAGAAATTAATTGTTTGGGCCTGTTATTGTGGGCTGTTGTTCGTAGAATTTGGGATCGGATCTCTCTTTGATTTGTTATTTGGATCTTGTGGTTTGTTTTCATGGCTGATAAGCAAAAGAATTTACTTATGACTGATGTCATTCCAGTGATGTCCAAAATCACGGACCATAAGTTGTTTGGTCTAAATTATTTAGATTGGTATAAGACAGTATTTCTATGGACAATCATCTTATTGAAGATCCACCAACGAATAATACTCGCCTGACATGGCTAAGAGATGATGCCCGATTATTCTTACAAATTCGAAATTCGATTAACACACGGATAGTTAGCCTGATTAATCATTGTGAATATGTTAAGGAATAAGAATTAATGGAATATTTGGAATTCGTGTATTCTGAAAAAGGGAACGTGTCCCGTATTTATGAAGTTTGTAAGGGTTTTTATCGTGCTAAACAACAAGATCGGTCTCTTCAGGCTTATTTTATGAATTTCAAAAAGATCTACGAAGAACTGAATACCTTGTTATCCTTTAGTCCAGATGTGAAAATTCAACAAACTCAACGGGAGCAAATGGCTGTGATGAGTTTCTTAGCTGGTCTTAATTCTCAATTCAAGACTGCTAAAACTCATATTCTCTCCAGTGCTGAGATCTCATCTCTGCAAGAAACCTTTGCTAGAGTACTTCGTACCAATACCGGTGCTCCTGCTGCTTCATCTGTTCAACCTTCTAGTGCTCTTATCAGTCATGGTAGTAGAGGTAATACAAGAGGCGAGAGTACAAGCAGTCGGGTCAATCGAAGTCAAAATGAAGGGGGTTTGTATGCTATTATTGTCATGAGTCGAGACATACCAAATACTCATGCTGAAATTGCACAATAAATATCAGAAGTCTCACTCAGCCCATGTTGCAGCTACCAATACTACACCCATCTCAACCTCTGAGCAGACCATTACCATTTCTGCAGATGAATTTGCCAAATTCACTCAGTACCAAGAAGCATTGAAAAATTCATCTCCCTCTATCTCCACCATTGCTGAAACAGGTAAACTTAATACATGTCTTCTTTCCTCGTCCTCAAAATGGGTCATTGATTCTGGTGCCACGGATCATATGACAGGTAATCCACTTTTCAATCACGTACATCTACCTCCAATGTTACTTTAGCTGATGGTTCTACTTCTATTCTCAGTTCTTGGCACTATTAATCCAACTCCATTAATTTCCATATCGTGTCTTAAATCTACCACAATTTTCTTTCAATTTAATGTCTATTAACAAACTTACTCGAGCCTTAAACTGTTGTGTCTCATTTTTTCCTGACTAGCGTCTTTTTCAGGATCTTATGACGAAGAAGATTATTGTTAAAGGACATGAATCAAGAGGTCTCTATATTCTGGATACCCAGGTGCCCAAGTCAATTGCGTGTTCAAGTGTCTTAACTCCATTTGAAACACATTGTCGATTGGGGCATCCATCTTTATCTTTGTTGAAGAAATTATATCCTCAATTTCAAAATGTATCATTTTTAGATTGTGACTCGTGTCAGTTTGCAAAACATCATCGTCCGCCCTCAGTTCCTAGAGTCAATGAAAGAGCTAGTTTTCCTTTTAAGTTAGTTCATTCAGATTTTTGGGGTCCTTGTCCGGTTGTATCCAGAACTGGTTTTCGGTATTTTGTTACATTTGTTGATGATTTTTCTCGTGTGACTTGGCTTTATTTAATGAAGAATCGTTCTGAATTATTTTCTAATTTTCGTGCCTTTTGTGCTGAAATTAAAACACAGTTTAATGTCTCTGTACACACTAAGAAGTGATAATGCCAAAGAATATTTTTCCGATTCTTTTCAGACTTACATGCTTCATAATGGTATTCTCTATCAACCCTCGTGTGTTGACACCCCCTCTCCGAATAGTATGGCTGAAAGAAAAGTTAGGCATCTTCTTGAAACAGCCAGGGCACTCCTGTTTCAAATGCATGTTCCTAAACAATTTTGGGCTGATGCAATCTCCATAGCTTGTTTTTTTATTAATCGAATGTCTTCGTCCGTTCTTCATGGTGAGACTCCTTAGAGTGTCATTTTCCATATTAAACCCTTGTTTCCTGTTGAACCTAATATATTTGGTAGTACTTATTATGCTCGTGACGTTCGTCCCCAAGTAACTAAATTAGATCTCAAAAGTCAAATCCTTAAAATATATTTTTCTAGATTACTCTCGTCTACAAAAAGGGCATCGATGCTATTGTCTGAGTTTTAGCAAATATCTTGTGTCAGCTGATGTTACCTTTTTGTAACATATTCCTTTCTTTCCCACTTCTTTTAATCCTTTCAGTAAGGGGGAGGATGATGATCTGTTAGTTTATCATGTCACGTATCAATCAACTAATGTTACTTCTATCCCTATTGCTCCACCACCTATCCGCCTTGTGTATTCGAGATGACGCGACCCTCTTGATGCATGCATGGCACCCATCTCTTCTTCAGCATTGGATCTAGTGTTTGGTGATTCTGATCTGCCTATTGCTCTCCGCAAAGGTAAACGTCAGTGCACTTATCCCATTTCATCTTTTGTTTCTTATGATCACTTGCCTCCTTCTTCTTGCTCTTTTGTTGCTTCCCTTGACTCTATGACTCTTCCGAAGAGTGTTCATGAAGCCTTATCCTATCCTCGTTGGCGTGATGCTATGATCGAGGAGATGAATGCTCTGGATGCTAATGATACTTGGGATTTAGTAGATTTACGTGCAGGGAAAAATGCTATTGGATGTAAGTGGGTATTTGCAGTCAAAGTCAATCCTAATGGCTCAGTGGCTAGGCTTAAAGCCCGTCTTGTGGCTAAAGGCTATGTTCAGACTTATGGTGTGGATTACTCTGACACTCTCTCTCCTGTAGCGAAATTAACGTTTGTTCGCTTGTTCATAACTATGGCAGCTACACATAATTGGCCTTTACATCAATTAGACATCAAAAATGCTTTCTTACATGGTGATCTCCAAGAGGAAGTCTATATGGAGCAACCACCTGGATTTGTTGCTCAGAGGGAGTATTGGAAAGTGTGTCATCTTCGAAAGTCCTTATATGATATGAAACAGAGTCCACGTGCGTGGTTTGAAAAATTCAGTCAGGCAGTGGAAAAGTTTGGAATGCAGAAGAGCAAGTTTGATCACTCGGTCTTCTACAAACAGTCTGAATCCAGCATTATTCTCCTTGTTGTGTATGTTGATATTGTTATTACTGATAGTCATACTATGGGAATTTCATCTCTGAAGTCCTTCCTTCACACCATTTCACACGAAAGACTTAGGGGTGTTAAAGTATTTCTTTGGAGTTGAGGTGACGAGAAGCAAGAAAGGCATCTTCTTATCTCAAAGAAAATATGTACTTGACTTATTAACTGAGACAAGAAAGTTGGGATCTAAACCAAGCAGTGCTCCAATGCTTCCTAATCTGCAACTTACCAAAGATGGCGACTTATTTGAAGATCCTGAGAAGTATAGAAGACTGGTTGGAAAATTGAACTACCTTACAGTAACCTGTCCCGATATTGCGTATTCTGTCAGTATTGTAAGTCAATTCATGTCTTCCCCAACAGTTCAACATTGGGCAGCTTTAAAATAGATCCTGTGTTATTTAAAGGGAGCTCCTAGACGTGGGATACTGTACAGAAACCATGGACATACACATCTCGAATGCTTCTCAGATGCAAATTGGATAGGTTTCAAGGTTGATCGAAAATCCACTACCGGCTACTATCTTTTTGTTGGAGGAAATATGGTCTCGTGGAAAAGTAAGAAACAAAATGTTGTGTCCCAATCCAGTGCAGAATCAGAATATAGAGCTATGGCACAATCTGCATGGGAGATAATGTGGATCTATCAACTCTTAACTGAAATTGGTCTTAAGGCTTCAATACCAGCAAAGTTGTGGTGTCACAATCAAGCTGCTTTTCATATTGCTTCTAATCATGCATTTCATGAACGAACTAATCATATTGAGATTGACTGTCATTTCATTCGTGAGAAGGTGCAACAGAATTTAATCTCTACAGGATATGGGAAGACGGGATAACAATTGAGAGAGATTTTCACAAAGGCCCTAAATGGGATTCGGGTTAATTATATTTATAACAAGCTGGGCATGATTGATATTTATGCTTCGGCTTAAGGGGGAGTGTTACAAGATGTAAATTAGATCAATTACAGGGATTGGTACCTAATTATAGGGATTCCTATTTTAATACCTTCCTAATATAGGCTTCACAATCTGTATATGTAAGTATACTTTTCTATGTATGAAATATGATAGTGAGGACACTTCCTTAGGTGGAATCCCGACCCTTCCCAAGACTTTAGAAACTATACCCCTTGTTTCCGACAACTCTCGATCACATGTTATATGTCATACCCTTGCCCAACTCAAAGAGTTTGATGATTTCACTAGTCACCCTTGGAGTATCCAGTCGCCTGTGTTTAGCACTAAATCGAAATTCTCCATTACTGCCCAACCTCAAACTGATGGTCAAAATGAAATTGCTAACCAAAGTCCTAGCAATTTATTACAGTCTCTAGTCCAGAAAAATATTTGGACTTGATCCCTCCAATTGTTCAAATTACATATACCAATCTTGTGAATTGGTCTTTAGGTCTAAATCCCTTTGAAGTTATTCATGGTTGTGAACTTAGGAAACCTTTAGACTTTATTCCCATGTACCCACATGCTAATGTGTTTATGTCAGTTGAGGTAGTTGTATCACATTTTCATAACTTGCATATTGAGATCAACAAACAATTTGAAGCAAGTAACGCATTATATAAACCTCGAGCTAATTGGCATAGACAACATTTTGAATTTGATATTGGGGATTATGTTATATTGCTAGCTCGTAATGCTGGTTCTTTTAAAATTTCAAAGCATGTTAGTCTAAATGCACATGTCAATGACCTTTTATCACATTATGACCACCACCCTATTTTATTTGTTACGGACTTCGATACTTACAAAGGCTATTTTAATCCGTCTGAGGACCTGTTTCTACCTCCACATGAGAATTCCCACACTGAATCTTTTGCTCTGTCTATTTCAATCCCACCTATCATGGTACACAAAAATAAAATTGATATTATTTTAGATGAACAGATTGTGTTGAACAATGATAGAAAGATTCAGTGCTTTCTTGTTCATTGGATGGATCGACTTGATTCTGACGGTACATGAATTCCCATTCGCCTAGATAATCTTGATCAGTTCATATTTTTGTGGGTAATTTGCAATTGGCGTTGACATCATTCGTGGAGTTTCGGTATTTGGTCATCAAGAAAGATCGTCCCCCGTGGCATGACTTGGAGCCTTTAACATTAGATTCATTGCAACATTTTGATTTATCCACTCAACGGGGTCGAGTTTTTCTCCCACCCCGAAAGAGTTGATGCGGACATCCATTTACTATTTATTTTCTATTTAGACTATTAGTTATATTCTATTTGGATTATTATTTATGTTTCTGTTATTGGGCTTGTATAGTGGGTTTGGCCCAAGCCCTTTTCTTTAGAGTTTTTGTTTTGCTATTTATTTCTATTTTGTTACGTATTTGGGACAGTTGATGAATTAAAGAATAGAATACTTGGGTTGTTGCCTATAGCTTCCTCCTTCTCCCCTTTCCCCTAATTTCTACTACTTCTCCGATTTTCTCATCTCATTCTCTCCAGTTTCTCCCCTTCTTGTTTATTCTTTCTCCTTTTAATTCGTCCTGCATCAGCAAGCCTTAAAGGCAAAACTAATAAAATAATTCATAAGAATGAAAATACAAAAATATACTCGTAATAAACCATAAACCATCTTAAAAATCCAAACAAAATCCAAAGTGTAACCCTTACACAAACATAAAATATATGAATTAAGTAGCACTTAGTTAGCCTACTAGTGTTTTTTTTTTTTTTTAAGGCAATCAGGTACACTTTTATTAATCAAAAAAGAATACCAAAGAAGAGTATTATCAATTTAAATAGGAAAGAATCAATAAGAAATTAGGCAACCCTTTTACAGGATTAGAAGCCACGATATTAAACCAAGTATAAAAAGTCAGATAAAATAGTTCTCTCATTTGCTCTGTCGTTCGTATTTGGTCTTCAAACAGCAACTGTTTCTTTGTCTCCACAAACCATACAATGCATCCCAGGATGTGATCACATACAAGCTTGATGTCCTTATCACGAAGTTTTCTCCTTTATGCCTACAACACATCCTCTATACGCCTAGGCAATACCCAATCCATATGTTGAGATGTTAGAATATTGTTCCACAACCAATGAACACTATCACAATGAATGAGCAAGTGGTCAATCATCTCCCCACCCCTCTTACATATATAGCACCACTCAGTTACATGAAAACCTTTTATTCGAAAATTATCTCCTATTAACACTTACCCCATTCAGTCGTCCACAGTAAAAATTCTACCCGTGGAGGCAATTTGCATTTCCACACTATCTTCCAGGGAAATGAACTCTCCACAAATCCCAAAAGGGATCTAAAATAAGTGCGAACTAAAAAAATACCATCCCGTGGCAACCTCCACTTGCTATGATCATCCTCTCTTACCCGAATTTGCACCTCATGCAAGGAAGTCAAGAATAGAGCATAATCATCCAATTCTCAATCCTGTAAACCTCTCCCAAACGTAATATTCCAGCTATAGCTCCCATTTTAAATGTCTAACACATCATTCACCGTAGCAGAAGGCAATTAGTTCTCCTACTAGTAATCCTATAACAAATTATAATTTACATTTAAAAGTATTTAACTTACATGATCCCTACTAGTAGGATCTTCAAGGAATCAACAACATATTATATTCCCCCATCCACCTTGTAGCTATTAGTTTCATATAATTCCTACGTGTCATCATCCTCCTGTAATAGTGCCTTCTTCCCATTTTCCTTCTGCGTAAAGAAGAAAACGAAAAACTCATAAATTTATCCAATACTTGTAACAACCCAAGCCTCTGTACTCAAATCATTATATCAAACATATTGTCTGCTTTGGGAGGGCCTAAACCTATCTTACCCCTTATGATTTTCTATCGCATCCTCCAAGATTCAAACCAAAGATATCTGCCTTATGAGAAACTTAACTCGAATCCGAAGAGACACAATAGAAAGTTGTAAAGAGTAAGATGGACTCAGACTTTTCAAAGCGAACAATATGTATGATATAACAGTTTGGACACAAAGGTTGAGTGGTTACAATATCTAACTTGGATTTTTAGATGTTATAGTTTAACAAACATGATCCTACTTCAATGGTTGCCAATTTGCTAATTGGCAAATGCTAGTAGCTTCTTGTGGGATTGGCAATTTTCATGTCATCAACTGGCAACTTAGCAAGGTGAAATTGTATCTTTCTATGTGAATAGCTGTTATAAAATGCCACACAATCATATCATGGGGATTAGTTGTCTCCATGTATTAATACATACGAATAATGACAAGTGTACATTGCATATGATCAAAAGCTTGAAATTAGAACACATGATAAGAGATCTATAATCTTTGGTAAACATGTCAACACCAATGAGAAAAAGACGATCATTATGTTCAAAGTACTGTCTTCCAAATACCGTTCTATAAAATATATTAATTTATGTTTTACAATATTCCTATCTATAAAATCATACTTGCTTTTTGTTTTTGTATATTAATCTTTCACATCTCAATAAATTACTGCAACTATTAAACATCAAATTTCAATTGCTTTTTAACATAAAATTGATATTTATGTGATATTAACCTAATATTTATAGCAACGTTTGAGGTGCTCTCACAACTCAAATTCTCAAACACCACTACTCTCGTGCACTCGCTTCCACACCTTCCTATAGAATCTACAACCTCGATACGAAGTATCATATGTTTAGAAAAAGAGATGCTGCCCAAGAAGCCAGCATAATACAACAACACATTGCCCCTTCAGAAATTAGGATGGTGAAATACTGGTTTTATACTCAACAATATTCAAGAAATACAGATGTTCACAGAAGACTGGATTCAGTAGCAGTATTTATCCCCTTTCAGCAGGCATTATACAATTTGAGATTCACTGTAAAAGGAGAAGCTTTTGATTTAATTTATTAACTGTGTATGTTTCTGTAGTCAGATGCATCTACCCAATGCCTACCAAAAATTTGTCAAATGTACAGTGTAACAACCTCGCAACATCCTCAAATAATGAGGATCACATTTAGTAATAAATCTTATATTCTGAATTTTATAATTAAAAAATCATGTTATACTCAAAAGAGAAAGTAGGAATGAAAATAGAGAACAAGCAGTGGCAGATTCTTAAACTGATACCATTTGGATTATCAATGATCATAAATAAGGGAAATAAGAGATGGTACCGAAACTTTAAGAATTTGGCATAGTCTCGCCATCTCTCCTTTTATTATGCTATGGAGGCTCTTCTGCTCATTGGATGATGTTACTATTTCCTGGGACTTGTCCACGTGGACTCCAGGATCAAAAGAGCTCTGACCAAATATGAAATTTGAGTTGCTTTCTGGATTAACATTGTCAGTTTGATGAGAAGTTGATTCGTCCACAGATTGGGACTGGGTGGTGGATACTGCTGTAGAAGACCCTGCATCACCAGGAGAATTTAACAATGAATAGGCATCTGATATATAAAATCGTTTCCCGTATAACAACATTCCAGTATATACTCGAGCTTAATTTTAAGATACAATACAGACAATCATTAGGTGAAAAGTTAGTTTCTGAACTTATTATTACCTCCTTTACAACCAGCAGCTTGAGTCAGTTGATGCCCTTTGGGTTCAACTTGAATCGATGCTGGATCTACATTTTCATTGACTGCCTTCCTATGTTTTTTTCTAACTTCATCACTACCAGTGTCAGGGTTCCCAGACGATTCATCAAAGAATTGAACTCTTTTCCTATTACGTGGAGTTGACCCACAGGAATACTTCCACTGTGGATTTCTACCCTCCAAAAGCTTTCTCCAGAAAACATGAGCCTCTTCTCCATCTTTCAACTGGAATTTTCCCTCCCCGAGTAGGGGAAGATTTATACTATAACGTCCAACATCCAGTTGAACTTTTGAAATGATACAACCTGAACCATTATATTCAGAGGTTTCAGAAAGTATGGTCAGTAGCTCCTTGGTAGTGTCATTCAAAAGCAATTGCTCTGAGGAAATGTTTAAAGCAGATGTAGGGCTTCTGTCAGCATAATAATCATCCAATTTGCTAAATAAATATGAAGCACCCCACATTAGCAGTGTGTCGCTAGTGGTCCTACTCAAGTTATGCAGATTGTTATCAAGATTAAGAACCTGCGTTGCTAGAAGTAGGGCCTTTTCTTCAACAGTACAGGACGAATATAACCGAAAAACTTTGATCTGCTCTAATTTTGAATTGAAGGATATCTTTTGTAGTGCCCTCAAATCATTTGCTGGATTCCATTCACTATCATATACGATAACAATATTAACTGATGATAGCTTAATGCTTGAAGAACAAGCACGATTTTCTAGTAAGAACACAAATTGCCCATTTTCCTTCTTGTTAAAACGATTCACAGCAGCATGCTTCTTGGATGGGACAACTCTAGCATCAATACGTTCGTAAAAATTTGGACCAAATCTTTGACGCAGAAAATCATCCAATATATCTCCGATTGATGCCCTTCCTACGCCAACAACTGTCTGCTGTGAAAAGTAAAAGCTACCATTAAAAACTCACATAAACCAATAAAAAGAAATGTGCTGGAGTTGTGTATGTGTTACAAGATGTAAATTAGATCAATTACAGGGATTGGTACCTAATTATAGGGATTCCTATTTTAATACCTTCCTAATATAGGCTTCACAATCTATATATGTAAGTATACTTTTCTATGTATGAAATCAAGAGACTATTTTTCTCTCTTAAAATATCATGGTATCAGAGCTTCCAAGAAAAGTCGTCGATTCTTTGGTATTTAGAGTAATTGAGGATTAAATTTTAATCCGGTTACTAACCTTGTTCAGGTCTTGAAGCAGACGGCATTAGCCCTTTGGCCGCCTGCGTTTCTGGTGTGATGAGCGTGAAGCGAACACGCGAGGGTGCTGGTGGTGAGCGTGGAGCGAATACGCGAGGGTGCATGCGAATCCTGTTGTGCTAAATATGTTCAATAGGCGAAACTTGTTGCGCCAAATCTGTTCAGTACCCTGTTCGGCCACCTGGGTTCTTGGGCTACCAACCACTGTTGACGATTTCCATTCCTTGCTACCGGCGACTAAGCCCCAGAATATCACCGATTAATCTATTTGGTGTCTCAATCTTGTGATCTGGATATTGTGGATTGCTGATTGAATTTTTTTGGGGCTGCGTTTGGTTTGTTGGGTTAATTTTGTTGGATTGCTGGAGTTTGGATAGATAGTTTACTGGATAGCAAGTATTATTTGGGCTCTCTCTTACTGGCCTATTAAATAAATTCAATATTGGGCTTGGAATATTTTAAAATCCTTTTAATTCATTTATTGTTGGGTCACTTATCTTGGGTAAAATACTATGCATGTGAGGTTCTGAAGAAATTAATTGTTTGGGCCTGTTATTGTGGGCTGTTGTTCGTAGAATTTGGGATCGGATCTCTCTTTGATTTGTTATTTGGATCTTGTGGTTTGTTTTCATGGCTGATAAGCAAAAGAATTTACTTATGACTGATGTCATTCCAGTGATGTCCAAAATCACGGACCATAAGTTGTTTGGTCTAAATTATTTAGATTGGTATAAGACAGTATTTCTACGGACAATCATCTTATTGAAGATCCACCAACGAATAATACTCGCCTGACATGGCTAAGAGATGATGCCCAATTATTCTTACAAATTCGAAATTCGATTAACACACGGATAGTTAGCCTGATTAATCATTGTGAATATGTTAAGGAATAAGAATTAATGGAATATTTGGAATTCGTGTATTCTGAAAAAGGGAACGTGTCCCGTATTTATGAAGTTTGTAAGGGTTTTTATCGTGCTAAACAACAAGATCGGTCTCTTCAGGCTTATTTTATGAATTTCAAAAAGATCTACGAAGAACTGAATACCTTGTTATCCTTTAGTCCAGATGTGAAAATTCAACAAACTCAACGGGAGCAAATGGCTGTGATGAGTTTCTTAGCTGGTCTTAATTCTCAATTCAAGACTGCTAAAACTCATATTCTCTCCAGTGCTGAGATCTCATCTCTGCAAGAAACCTTTGCTAGAGTACTTCGTACCAATACCGGTGCTCCTGCTGCTTCATCTGTTCAACCTTCTAGTGCTCTTATCAGTCATGGTAGTAGAGGTAATACAAGAGGCGAGAGTACAAGCAGTCGGGTCAATCGAAGTCAAAATGAAGGGGGTTTGTATGCTATTATTGTCATGAGTCGAGACATACCAAATACTCATGCTGAAATTGCACAATAAATATCAGAAGTCTCACTCAGCCCATGTTGCAGCTACCAATACTACACCCATCTCAACCTCTGAGCAGACCATTACCATTTCTGCAGATGAATTTGCCAAATTCACTCAGTACCAAGAAGCATTGAAAAATTCATCTCCCTCTATCTCCACCATTGCTGAAACAGGTAAACTTAATACATGTCTTCTTTCCTCGTCCTCAAAATGGGTCATTGATTCTGGTGCCACGGATCATATGACAGGTAATCCACTTTTCAATCACGTACATCTACCTCCAATGTTACTTTAGCTGATGGTTCTACTTCTATTCTCAGTTCTTGGCACTATTAATCCAACTCCATTAATTTCCATATCGTGTCTTAAATCTACCACAATTTTCTTTCAATTTAATGTCTATTAACAAACTTACTCGAGCCTTAAACTGTTGTGTCTCATTTTTTCCTGACTAGCGTCTTTTTCAGGATCTTATGACGAAGAAGATTATTGTTAAAGGACATGAATCAAGAGGTCTCTATATTCTGGATACCCAGGTGCCCAAGTCAATTGCGTGTTCAAGTGTCTTAACTCCATTTGAAACACATTGTCGATTGGGGCATCCATCTTTATCTTTGTTGAAGAAATTATATCCTCAATGTCAAAATGTATCGTTTTTAGATTGTGACTCGTGTCAGTTTGCAAAACATCATCGTCCGCCCTCAGTTCCTCGAGTCAATGAAAGAGCTAGTTTTCCTTTTGAGTTAGTTCATTCAGATTTTTGGGGTCCTTGTCCGGTTGTATCCAGAACTGGTTTTCGGTATTTTGTTACATTTGTTGATGATTTTTCTCGTGTGACTTGGCTTTATTTAATGAAGAATCGTTCTGAATTATTTTCTAATTTTCGTGCCTTTTGTGCTGAAATTAAAACACAGTTTAATGTCTCTGTACACACTAAGAAGTGATAATGCCAAAGAATATTTTTCCGATTCTTTTCAAACTTACATGCTTCATAATGGTATTCTCTATCAACCCTCGTGTGTTGACACCCCCTCTCCGAATAGTATGGCTGAAAGAAAAGTTAGGCATCTTCTTGAAACAGCCAGGGCACTCCTGCTAAACAATTTTGGGCTGATGCAATCTCCATAGCTTGTTTTTTTATTAATCGAATGTCTTCGTCCGTTCTTCATGGTGAGACTCCTTAGAGTGTCATTTTCCATATTAAACCCTTGTTTCCTGTTGAACCTAATATATTTGGTAGTACTTATTATGCTCGTGACGTTCGTCCCCAAGTAACTAAATTAGATCTCAAAAGTCAAATCCTTAAAATATATTTTTCTAGATTACTCTCGTCTACAAAAAGGGCATCGATGCTATTGTCTGAGTTTTAGCAAATATCTTGTGTCAGCTGATGTTACCTTTTTGGAACATATTCCTTTCTTTCCCACTTCTTTTAATCCTTTCAGTAAGGGGGAGGATGATGATCTGTTAGTTTATCATGTCACGTATCAATCAACTAATGTTACTTCTATCCCTATTGCTCCACCACCTATCCGCCTTGTGTATTCGAGATGACGCGACCCTCTTGATGCATGCATGGCACCCATCTCTTCTTCAGCATTGGATCTAGTGTTTGGTGATTCTGATCTGCCTATTGCTCTCCGCAAAGGTAAACGTCAGTGCACTTATCCCATTTCATCTTTTGTTTCTTATGATCACTTGCCTCCTTCTTCTTGCTCTTTTGTTGCTTCCCTTGACTCTATGACTCTTCCGAAGAGTGTTCATGAAGCCTTATCCTATCCTCGTTGGCGTGATGCTATGATCGAGGAGATGAATGCTCTGGATGCTAATGATACTTGGGATTTAGTAGATTTACGTGCAGGGAAAAATGCTATTGGATGTAAGTGGGTATTTGCAGTCAAAGTCAATCCTAATGGCTCAGTGGCTAGGCTTAAAGCCCGTCTTGTGGCTAAAGGCTATGTTCAGACTTATGGTGTGGATTACTCTGACACTCTCTCTCCTGTAGCGAAATTAACGTTTGTTCGCTTGTTCATAACTATGGCAGCTACACATAATTGGCCTTTACATCAATTAGACATCAAAAATGCTTTCTTACATGGTGATCTCCAAGAGGAAGTCTATATGGAGCAACCACCTGGATTTGTTGCTCAGAGGGAGTATGGGAAAGTGTGTCATCTTCGAAAGTCCTTATATGATATGAAACAGAGTCCACGTGCGTGGTTTGAAAAATTCAGTCAGGCAGTGGAAAAGTTTGGAATGCAGAAGAGCAAGTTTGATCACTCGGTCTTCTACAAACAGTCTGAATCCAGCATTATTCTCCTTGTTGTGTATGTTGATATTGTTATTACTGATAGTCATACTATGGGAATTTCATCTCTGAAGTCCTTCCTTCACACCATTTCACACGAAAGACTTAGGGGTGTTAAAGTATTTCTTTGGAGTTGAGATGACGAGAAGCAAGAAAGGCATCTTCTTATCTCAAAGAAAATATGTACTTGACTTATTAACTGAGACAAGAAAGTTGGGATCTAAACCAAGCAGTGCTCCAATGCTTCCTAATCTGCAACTTACCAAAGATGGCGACTTATTTGAAGATCCTGAGAAGTATAGAAGACTGGTTGGAAAATTGAACTACCTTACAGTAACCTGTCCCGATATTGCGTATTCTGTCAGTATTGTAAGTCAATTCATGTCTTCCCCAACAGTTCAACATTGGGCAGCTTTAAAATAGATCCTGTGTTATTTAAAGGGAGCTCCTAGACGTGGGATACTGTACAGAAACCATGGACATACACATCTCGAATGCTTCTCAGATGCAAATTGGATAGGTTTCAAGGTTGATCGAAAATCCACTACCGGCTACTATCTTTTTGTTGGAGGAAATTTGGTCTCGTGGAAAAGTAAGAAACAAAATGTTGTGTCCCAATCCAGTGCAGAATCAGAATATAGAGCTATGGCACAATCTGCATGGGAGATAATGTGGATCTATCAACTCTTAACTGAAATTGGTCTTAAGGCTTCAATACCAGCAAAGTTGTGGTGTCACAATCAAGCNGAGATAATGTGGATCTATCAACTCTTAACTGAAATTGGTCTTAAGGCTTCAATACCAGCAAAGTTGTGGTGTCACAATCAAGCTGCTTTTCATATTGCTTCTAATCATGCATTTCATGAACGAACTAATCATATTGAGATTGACTGTCATTTCATTCGTGAGAAGGTGCAACAGAATTTAATCTCTACAGGATATGGGAAGACGGGATAACAATTGAGAGAGATTTTCACAAAGGCCCTAAATGGGATTCGGGTTAATTATATTTATAACAAGCTGGGCATGATTGATATTTATGCTTCGGCTTAAGGGGGAGTGTTACAAGATGTAAATTAGATCAATTACAGGGATTGGTACCTAATTATAGGGATTCCTATTTTAATACCTTCCTAATATAGGCTTCACAATCTGTATATGTAAGTATACTTTTCTATGTATGAAATCAAGAGATTATTTTTCTCCCTTAATATCAGTATGAAAATGAAAATACTGGTGCACAGGTGAGCGTGTGACCCAGAGGTGAGAAGATGAGATTTAAAACAGTGGAACTCCTAGCTAAGATATGAATTTATATGTAGAAGAATTGTGCATATTCCAATAATCAACTAGTGCAATATACCTGACAAAGTATGACCACTTGTTGTCCTTGATTTTTTATCTCTGAAAGTATCATGTCAAGAAGCTGTAATTTGCCACATGCTTTTATTCCAGTATCTAAAAGTTCAGTTGCCAGGCACCCCTCAGCTATCAAGCTTTCTTGCAAGGAGGAGTTCACGAGATAGGGATGATCACAACACTATCAGGAGATGACAAGTAACTATCAAATTGCTTGTTATTTTCAACGAATCAAAGCAAAGCAAAGACATTTCAATGTTAAGTGTTGACAATGTAATGCACAAACAAAACGGTGATGGTGTTTATAGTACTCATACAGTTATACAGCCACGTTTTATGCAAGTTTGAGATCACGTTTTAGCAGTCATGATTGCTGAGTACCATTTCAAACATCAAAAGGTACCCTTTGTTCATTACAATAGTCATTAACTTCTATTTGGAAGAAAAAGGAAATTGAGGATGCACATGCTAGAGTTAAAACAGACTTCAAAACATAAGAGCGAAAGAGGGGAATAGACATCATATAGTGAGAAAGTGACAAAGCATACCTTTCGGACAGTAAAAAGAATATCACGGAAGGCACCAACAGGGTCGCTTTTGGAGCAAGAACAAAGAGGAATAGAATTCGTAAGAAGTGCAGCACAGTACTGCTCAAGCTGGCAATTTGACATTGGAACAGGAACCCAATACTCTACAAACTGGGATAACTCAGGAATGCTGCCATATGCAATAAAACGTGCTAACCTCTCTTTTAATTTACCAAGATTATCAATTGTGTCGGACCTGAAGCCTCCCAGATCATCACAAGAATCAAGCAATGATAGTAGATTAAGATATTCAGATACAGTATCCTGAAAATTCAAAATGATTATTTAAAACCTGTCCTGAATATATAAAAGAAGATTGCGGACGAGGAGGAGAAAATTGCCTTTATTTGACCATTGAAAAGAAGTATTCTAGAATTTGTAGGGAGAATTTTAATTTGTTCCCAAGGATTTTCTATCCCAGAGTGCTGGCACTCATGAACTATAACTGCTTCCCATTTTATGCATCTCAATATGTCCAAGTCCTGCAAAATACATTCAAAATGCAGAATAAGACGTAAACACAAGAACCCAGCCAGTCACAAAAGAAAAACTGAACAATTAAACTCTAAATGATTTCTTTTAAAAATTTAAACCAAAAACATAGAAACAGTGAAGTAACATGCATGGTAACTAGAAATCATTAAAGAGACAAGACATGAATCATGGGAATTTACTTCAGCTACAAAAATAGTTGACCCTCGAAATCATTAGCCAAGATCCTGATATCAAAATAAAAAACTGAAGCAGCCTCCATACCTCAAAAACGGCTTCTGGAGAAGACAAGAGCACTTGGAGCATCATGCAATCCCCTTCCTCAAAAAATTCTAATGTCCTAATAGTTTTCCTCGTATCCCTGCTTCCGCTATAAATTGTGACAGCAATGGAAGGGGACAGTCGCGTGAACTCAGCTTCCCATTGAGAAATTGCATCTGAAGCCACAATAATGAGGAAAGGCTGACAGACCTCAGTCAAAGAGAGAACAAACGCAATCACAGTCATTGCCCACTCCTGCAAGGTTACGATCAATAAGATCCATTAAATGTTTCGGCACATATTTATAAACAATATCATTTCAAGCTTATCGAAATATCAATGCCAAACCCCCCCCCCCCCCCCCCAAACACTTTTTTA